TATTGCCGCGCGCCAATAACGACCACGCGTCGAAAGTCGAGCCGGCTCAAGCATCGTCTGAAGAGGACTACCCTTGCCCCCGCGCACTTTTAAACTTAGGCCGAGGTTCCTAACGCGAACTACACTATACATGATAGTAGATTTTCAATATTTGCGAAATACGACATCATGGAAATAAATTCTTATTATGCATATGAGAAATATAATTCTATTCGCATATTTTTATTGAAATAAATGTAAGGTATTTTTAATACAGATCTGAATAAAATAATAACGAATTTTATTTAAATTTGTAATTTATAAAATTTATTAATTTAATATGTCTATTTGTATTTGTATTACACACTACATAAGTATGAAGGAGAAAAAAGTATATACTCATAAATGTAAGGAAACTGTGAGTTCCAGGTCAAATTGACATAAACAATGTTTGTTAAAATGTCAGAGTAACAATTTTTCAACGAACTGTCTCCTTCGAGCCAGATTGATGCTGCCAGCATTTCAGGAACGGCGCAGACATTGCCCATACATTATCTATCCCAAGAGTGTTGGCATACTACTAACAAGTTAAAAAGTGACAGAGGCAAGGGGTTTTTACCACTTACGACGCTCGGGCTCGCTCGGGCTTTGATGGGGCGATCGTTATTGGCCACACGGCAATGACAAAGCACGAACGCAAAACCGAATACTGTGAAGCGAGATACAGCGAACATTGGCGTCGGAATTCGTTTCGGCACGGTAGCGGCGTCTTATGTTTATAAAATCTCTGGGATATGGTGGTTCGACTATGTTTCTTGGTGGGATTGGGTGGAGCGTACGGTGATTCCCCTTGCTCGTGTGTGAGTCCAGCTAGTGTGAAGTGCGCCGCACTCCTGAGCTGGAGAATGCTGCACACGGTTACAGGAGCGACATTCGTTAAGAAACAGTCGTAGCAATCAGATCGGAAGTGTTCCAACCGTTACAGTAGAAAAGTGTACAGTTGTGCCATAGTTTTATTGTTATGGTTGAGTGTGTGTGTAGCAATAAGTGTTCATGTAGTTTACTTTTATTTGCATATTTATATATACATTTATTGAAAGTGCATTATATTTTATTTTGTCTTTAATTCTAGAAAATGGCTACGGCAAAAAGAGTACGAAGGATTCATAGCCAAGCACGAGCCATAGTGAAAAGAGTAGGGGAGAAATGCGAAGAGGAAACAATAAAGGGTGAATTGTTACATCCATTGCATAGTCCAAATCTCCGAGCAGCAGAGTATACTGGATTATCGACACGCATAATTAGCAAAATAAAAAATGAAACTTCTGATTCAGAAGGAGTTGTCTCTACGTTCGGGAAGAAACGGTTAAGAGATGCTGAAGAAGAATTCCACTGCACTGAAAAGGACAAAATGTTAATAAGAAATATTATTTATAAGATTTACAAGCGAGGGAGAGTTGTCACATGGGGTCCGCAATTATTGGATGAGATCCGTGAACAAATGAATTTCCCTTGGGACGCTGCCATCTTACGCAAATTATTGAAAAGCATGGGATATGAATGGAAAAAATATCACACTCGAAAAAGGATATTAATAGAAAGACCAAGTATAGTGGCCTGGAGAGATAATTATTTAAAAACAGTACAATCTCATAGGATGGAAAATAGGAATATTATTTATGTTGACGAAATATGGGTAGACAATGCTCTGAATTTCGGGAAGTATTGGCAAAGTGAAGAAGAATTCGGAGTATCGAAAAATACTAGTTCATCCGAACGAGTAATAATCGTGCATGCGGGTGGACAAAATGGATTTGTCCCCAATGCAGGATTAATTTTTAAAATTGATAGTGCCACTAGCGATTACTATGGACAGGTGGATGCTGCAAATTTCGAAAGCTGGATTATAGAATTATTATTGCCAAATATTCCACCAAATACGGTGGTGGTAATGGATAATGCCCCATACCATTCCGTCGAGATGAACAAACCACCAAATAAGTATGCAAAAAAAGCAGACATGTTAAGTTGGCTTGAACAGAATAACGTTCCACATACAGAAAAGATGAAGCAATATGAACTAGCAGAATTAATAGCTCGGAATAAACCAACAAAAAAAACCTACAAAATAGATGAAATTTTAAAATCGTATGGACATTCTATTTTACGATTACCCCCCTATATGCGCGAACTAAATCCAATTGAACAAGCCTGGGTAAAGATAAAACAAGCAATCAGTGAAAACAATATTTTTTCGACGTTAACGTTAGATGAATTACAGTCTTTATTACCAGAAGCAATAGACAGTGTAACGGCAAGTGATTGGGCAGAATTCTGCAAAAATACTGAACAGATTGAAAAGGAATATATAGACAATGATAATTTATTAGAAATATCCATGGAAAATATAATATTAAATAATATAGGTTCAGATAATGATGATGACAGTAGCAGTTCAGATGATTTCTAAAATGAGAAAACGTAAATGGTTATGTATAATTTTAATATTGATTTTTAACTATTGCATCTGTAGTATGAATCTTCTGAAGAAGTTATTTTTGCATTCGTCATATTCTGAATCTATATTTCCAAACATAAGTTATCCATGGTGGGTTTCAATAAAGTATCATTTTAAAAATATTTCTTCAACCGTTTTTATATCTTCAAAAATTTTGTTCACTGTTGCAATCTCATGTATTGCTCTTTTTTCTGGCATTTGTTCTCCCATGACATTCAGTCGCATTTTAGTATTTCCATCTTTTTGTCAATTTTTTAAGTGTGTATAATTTTCATGAGAAAATAACTTTTTGATGGATGGCAATAAAAATTAGTGGGATAATTGGTACAATCTTTCTTCAATGTATAATTTAACGTGAATATTTCTTATTGTAATTTTATCATCTCTGAAGCTGGGAAATCTTCTGATGCTTTTTAATTGTTATTCTACGGCAATGGAACTTTTCTTCTCGCAAAGGACTTTCATTTTTACATTTGTTAAGTGATCCTATTCATCCAGTAAAAGCAACAACATGGATGTTTGGTTTATCTGCTGGATGAAATAAACAATTCTGACTGCTTCTTCATCAAGTTTCTGTAATTCTTTTCACCATGGGTAATGCTTGGCTATGAGCTAATTGTGCCTTCTTTTATGTATGTAACTTTTTGGTATGCTTAATCTATGAAATATGTTTAATAATGTAATGCAAAACTTATTGCTACACTTAAATGGCACACATAATTTATATAATAAATACTACATAAACCAAATGTGTACTGTTTACGCATAAAAGTAAGTAGAACAATTTTGTTTTAATAATATTAAATTTAAGAATACAATTGCAGCCATACTAATAGATATGAAAATTTTTACAGGTATCTCCAAAACTCAAAATGAGAGGTAAATACTAAAACTATACAATGGAGAAATGCTCAACAATGTCTAAGTAGACTGTTTTTAAAAAACTGTTTTTTGAAAATTATGATAATTTTCAAGGACTTATTTACCTGTTCCTGACGTGAAACAGTCTCTTCTTTATATGTAAAGTAAATTTACCAATTTTATTTTAATAGTATTAAATGTAAGAAAATAATTGCAGCCATACTAATAGAAATGAAAACTTACAGATATCTACAGAACTCAAAATGGGAAGTAACTGCTAAAACTATGTAAAGGGGAAACCACATAGTATTGTCCATGTAAACTGCATTCAAAAACGTTGCAGAGTACGAAGGAAAAATTAAGATTGGAATGGATTTTGTTGCATCTGAATTTTTTAGATTTTGTTAAAGACTTCCCAATTGTTTCGATTGAAGATCCATTTAATCAAGATGATTGGGATTGGTGAACTTCTATGACATCATTTATTCCTATTTAGGTTGTTAGTGACGATCCTACTGTGACAAATCCAGAAAGGTAAATTTTCAATTGCATATAAAAATTATAATGACAAATTAAAAGGCTAAATTCAAAAAGGCAATGTATATGTACATTGCAGAATTAAAACAGCTATCGAAAAGAAAGCTTGCAACTGCCTCTTATTGAAGGTCTACCAAATAGGTACTGTTGCTGAATCTATTAATACTCATAAACTTGCGAAGAGTGTTGGATGGGGCACCAGGGTGTCTCACCGTTCCGGAGAAACAGAAGATACATTCATTGCCGATCTAGTAATTGGATTTTCAACTGGTCAAATAAAA